CCTTCTGTCTAGTGTGCTTAGTCAGCTCTGACACAGATGATCCCCCATGCCATGATGTCAAACTTTTCGGCATCTGTTCTCTTGGTCTCTCTCGGCCTCTCCTTGCCTCCAACCCTCCTACCGTCACGATGTACTTCAGTTTTCTCCTTCTCATCACATGACAAATAATGCAGATTGTCTCTTTCTGGCTTGGAAAATCAGTTCTCTTGGTGAGAGTCAGTTTCTTTCAAGACAGCTTCATTACTCTTTTTATCTGTCCAGTGTATTCTCATCATTCGTCTGTGAAACCACATCTCTCCATCTTCCAAATCAGTTCTCACTAATTTACTAACTGTCCATGATTCACATCCGTATATCAGTTATAAAGCTTTTAACGATTCTCTTTTTCGTCTCAATTGACAAAGAAAGATTGCATAAAATATCCCGTATTTTTGTAAAATGCTACCTTTGCTTTAGCTATTTGACATTTAATTTCATTACATCTTCCATCTGATGTTATCAGGGTACACAGGTACTTAAATTTATCAACTTGCTTGAGATTTGTCCCATTTACTTTGATGTTTCATTTTCGGGGGGCACTTTATAGAAATATATATATATATTTAAAGAAATACAGTTTACTAATAATCTGTTGCAACAACAGGACTTTCTGCCGCTGAGATCTGCCAGACTGACAGAGGCCGCGATGCAGGACGAGTTTTTGAAGTTTGTTAAGAAAGCGATGGCCGTGTTCGATGTGAAAGAGGGGCAGGAGAAGGAAGAGAATACAGACATCGAGGGAATTAATTACTTTGATGTGATGAACGTTCCTGGTCTGGACGGCGACTTACAAGGTGGACACAATCAAATCGGCGGAATGGTAAAATTGCTTTGCTTTTTTGTCTTCTCCTATTTATTAAAACTATGAGACCTAATCATTTAAGGATTTTCTTACAGTAAAGGCATACCATTGCCTAATGTAGATTTAGAGAGCATGGAAACAGACAGAGGTACAGACATACGGACAGACAGACAAGCGGAGACAAAGAGAGAGAGAGAGTAAAGAAGAAAAGACACACAAAGATTGATAGCTTAAGTGATAGACAGTCAGAGAGGGAAGACGACATACATACAGATAGACAGAAGTGTAACTCTCATACAAATTCCTGTTCGTATTCAGTTCCCTGCCACTCACCCTGTTTACCAGAAAAATGTGTACGAAAATTTCAGCGTCAGTGAAACTGGCTGCAATAATCATAATTTAAAAAAACGATCAATTTATTTATTTTTTATTAAATAATTTGTCGGCGATTGAGGCTTAGGCGTTACAAACGTACTTAGTAACGTCGAAGTACCCTGTTCGATTCCAAATGCTGGCAGTTTGGCAGCCTAGCGATTTGCCCTGATTTCGACTGGCTCAGCTCAATATATTATGCTCAGCCTAGGTCTAGCACTGTAAGACCAATACGCTCGAAAGCGTGGAAGAGAGTCCTTTTATTTTATTTCTATGTATAATTCATTGATTTACTTCATAGAAATAATTTAGTAAAAAGTAAAGGACCCTTTTCCACGCCTCCAGTCGTTTTGGGCAAATATGACTAGATCTATACTGTGTAGATCAATCGGCAATTGGTGGAAGATGTAGTCAGCATCACACCAGCCATCTTTACTTTTCAGGACTAGACCTGGTACTCACTCAAGGCTTGGTCGACCTGGGAGTCAAGGTCATTTCTGAAGAAAGCCCGGTTCTTTCAGAATCACTGAAGCTTTTCTGGCAACTACATAAAAGTATGAACGGTGCCCACAAAAATAAGAGCATTCCTGACTTCCAGTGCTCTGACCTCATCTGGCAGAGGTCTGACGAAAATAAAGGCAAGGGGCTATTAGAGCACTTTCTGCAGTAGAGCAGCCAGACCGATATGTCAGGACGCAGTTTTCCCAAAGCCATTGAATCAGATAGGTGTAGCTCACAGAAGTTTGCATACGGTGATATAGTGACAGTGGGTGAGATCAAGAATGTGCTACGACTAACAAATAATAGTGCACCAGGTCCAGATGGTGTGAGATATGATGACATTAGTAGGTGTACTGAAGATGAGCTAAAAGAGCTAGCAGATATTTACAACAATAGTATTGCGAGCTCTAGTATCAGTGAAGAGTGGTTACACAGCTATCTGATACCCCTGCCAAAACCTGGCAAAGATCACACAAAAACTCAGGGATGTCGGATAATCACTATGCAAATTATCGTAGGCAAGCTGTTTGAAAAGATAATCGCCAGAAAAAGTTCACACCAGCTTGAAAGGCGAGGTCTTCTTCCAAATACCCTTAGAGGGTACCGCCGTAAGAAAGAAACATGGACCAATGCTGCGGTTTTTGCTCATGATGTGTATGATGGCTTTCACTCAGGTATTGAAACGTGTGCTGCGGCAATTGATCTCGAGGATGCGTACAACAGATTACCTTTGGACTTCTTGATGTCTCAGCTTCTTGAAATCCCGATAAGTTCATTTCTGCTTCATTGGATCTCTTCCGCCCTTTTCTAACGAAAAGTAGTGTTCAGATGTGGCAGCTGGACTTCTGAACTAACAATACATCCCGGCCTGCCACAAGGATCGCCATTATCCCTTGTGTTGTTCAGCCTTTACACAATGAGAATCACAGGCGAGCAAATCACAAGACCTGAAAGAATAATGTTATATGCTGACGACGTGTTAGTGTATTGCCAGAGAGAAGGTTGCTGAAGAACTACAAAAAGAGCTAAATTGCATAACCCAAGGAAGGCGGCAGTGACATGGTTCTCTTTGACCCATATTGTGAAAACTCCAACACCGGTTGTTGGTCTGTGTTCTGCGTTTGTGGAAATACTTGGGGATACAGTTTGATCGAAGCCTTGATTTTACTGAGCACATAGATCAGATTATAATGAAAGCCTAACAGGGTCTGGCTGCGATGAGAGTGATGGCGGCGGCAAACTGTGAGCAGCGTCATCTATGTCTTCTATACCAGGGTTTGGTTCTTTCTGTGTTTGAATACTCAATGGCGATCCTGACTCTCAACCACAAGCAGATGGAAAGCATGGAAAGGATACAGAACGAGGCTATGCGCATTATACTTGGGTGTACACGAGATACAGTATGCAGGGCTAAGCGCTACCTTCTCGATTTTCCAACCATGGAAGACATAATACAAATTTCCTGAGCTCGTGCCTACCTCACAGTCAAGGCGGATACACAACATCCCTTACATAGTCAAATCAAGAAGATAAAAGGCAGCAGGTTAAAAAGAGGAAAATCGTGGATGGGTCAAGCCGAGGACATTATTTTACAGGTATGTTCACTTGAGGACATAGAACACGGCGAGGAAGGGTGCAAGTGCCTTCGGAGTGCTGTATATCTTTTTCTGTTCGCATCCAACTAGACAGAAAATGCAGACAACAGAGTCCGGCTTCTGGGGAAGCAGAAGTTTAAGCCTTGATTTTTGAGAAAGCTCTATAGGGTGATGCTGTCATTTGCACAGATGGTTCTGTAATCCGCCACTTTACAAGCTCGTGGGCTTTCACAGCTCAGACTGGAGGGGGAGTTGTAAATAAAGATGCTAAAGCTTTTGCCGAAACTACAAGTAGTCTGACTATGAAGTTATGGCTGTGACAAAGCATTAACATGGCTAGAGACACAGACTTTCACTGGGTCATGCTTTCTCAGTGACTCGATGAGTATGCTCAGGAAGATCGAGAAGGGCTGGATCAGAAGGCTCTAGGTAGCTCTACGGTGTTCACGGTTGACAAGGATTACTTTTATTTTCGTGCCAGGCAGGACAAGTGGCGGTACAAAAAAATGAGCAAGCTGATAGGCCTGCAGGTAAGGCTATTGTGAAAGCCGGACAAGCAATGGCTGCTATACTGAATGCTCTAAGAGAGTTAAGACCTTTGCGTGAACCAACCGAGAACTGTGAATCAGCAACCATGGTCTAACTGCAAGAACAACATGTTAAACAGGGGGGTCACCAAACAAGAATACTACGCAGGTGGTCAAAGAATAATAATAAACTAACACAGAACTGGTGTCGTCAGCCGCTACACGCTGCGGGATTTACTGAGGAGGGGATCCGAGCACTTATGGACTGAGTGGTTCGACGTGCATAGAGAATAATATGTCGACTAATTAACTAACCCACGAACTTCCGATCCGCAGGCGAGACTCTAGCCGCTACACCACTGAAACTCCGGTCATATAAATGATGAACCGAAAATATATTTTATTTCTCATTGCTGTTTAAAAAACACATTGTTATGTGTTGTAGAAATAATAAATCAAAGATATATTTAATCTCTAATTTCTGTTTAAAGATCACAATGTTTTGTGTCTACGAAAAAATTAATCAAAGATAAATTGTATCTATAATTTCTATTTAAATATTTCAATGTTCTGTGCTGTAGAAAAGGGAATACAAAATATTTTTTATCTCTAATTTCTGTTTAAAGATCACAATTTGTTGTGTTGTAGAAAAAAATAAATCAAAAATATAGTATGTCTTTAATTTCTGTTTAAAGATCACAGTGTTTTGTGTTGTAGAAAAAATGTATAAAAAAATATACTATATCTCTAATTTCTGTTTAAAGATCAAAATATTTTGTGTTGTAGAAAAAAATGAAAATTTGTTTATCTCTAAGTTTTGTTCAAAGATCACAACATTTTGTGTTGTAGAAATATTGAACCAAAAATATATTTTATCTCTGCCTTCTGTGTAAAGATCAAAATGTTTTCTGTTGTAGAAAAAAATAAAGATATTTTATATCTAAGTTCTGTTCAAAGATGTTTTGTGTTGTAGAAATATTGAACAAAAAATATATTTTATTTCTACTTTCTGTTTAAAGATTACAATATTTTGTGTTGTAGAAAAAGAGTATCAAAGATGAGATGTCAGCCTTCTTCACGGAGACCAGCTTCACGGCTCTGACGCAGATCTACAAAGCAAACAGGCTCTGGAAACGACTGTTGTGGACGGCACTGATCCTTGCCATGATCGTCTACATGGGCATCCAGTGCTACTGGCTTCTGGAGCGATACTACAGCTACCCAATGGAGGTATTGTATGTAGCTGTATTGTTGTCGGTGTCTGTGGCAAAGGCCTTGCGAACACGCTTCGCAATGCTGGGGTGCTGAGATCGATCCTAGCTACAGGCAGTTTGTCAACAGACCGCCTTGTGTCAGTTCTGCCAGCGGTATCGAGAACCGA